TATTTAATTTTACAGGGAACAAGAAGAAATGAAACGGAAACTTGAAGTAATGGTAAAAGAGTTTATTGAAGAACTTTTACAACCTAAAGAAAATGGCCTAATTGAATAAATACGCGCAATTTTTTTTTTATTTTGACTTTGTAGTGACAGTATGTAGACACTGTCATATATCAACTTTTACAATATTTACATAACAAAATTTGCACAAATTACAATGTCACTATGGAAAAGTTAGTACCTCTCTACTCAACTGTTTTATAAATTTTTTTTTAGTAATTTTGGAAGAAATTGTTTTAGACCAAATATAGATAAAACATAATAGTAAACTCATTTTAATTTTCACAAAGCCAAAGCATTCGAAATTATTTTACATTGTGATATTTTTTTATTTTAATATCCCGCTCGAAGGACCAATATCAGGTCTGCCAAAAACGCTTGTTTACAGAATACAAAAAAATGCGTAGATTTTTTTATACCATCATTTACGACTTTGAAGTTACTAGATAAGAATTTAAAAAAATATTTTTGAAAATTGTTTTAATTTTTTGATCTCCAATCGGCTTAACCCATACTATGGTTAAAAACTGGTTTAAAGTTAACTTATATAAAAACGGCTAAACACACACGTATATACGTCCGGTGGCGGCACCGACTAGTTTCAAGGCCATCGGGGGCCCTTCATCAGGGTGAGTGGGACTGGTATTATTTCGCGGACGCGGCCCTCAGCTCACTGTGCCCGTCTTGAGGGGGCGGGGGGCGCGTTGTGCGCCTGCGTCGTCGACGATGCTGATACCAAAGCTTCGGTGGTGTTGCTGTTCAAGTTTCGAAATAATACCAGTCCCACTCACCCTGTTGAAGCCTCCGTTGCGCTCGAAACTAGTCGGTGTCGCCACCGGACGAATATACGTCAGTGTTTTAGCCGTTTTTATATAAGTTTATTATAACGTCTCACGAATGTTTGAATAATTTAATGGTTTAAAGTTATTGATGATTAGTAGAATTTATATTAGTTTTTTTATTAATCCTTGTAAATGTTTATTAAACAAAAATTCCTAACTCGTCCTTTAGTAAAACTATTTTCCTGTAAAAATATGAGTCTCTTATCAACATTATTTTCCAATTATTTGCATTTATTTATATATAACTTTATCAAATTAACATTTCCATTTAATATTTTTTTTTAATTTTTTTTTTAAATATAGTGGTCATGGACCTTAAGCAATCTGATGTGATAGTCTTAATATATCTTGTGATTATTTTAATCGTAGCTAATTTTCCTCATATTTTATTTTACAAATAAAATAAATAAATAAAAAATTGTTTTATTTTATTTACCAATAAATAATTATGAATTACTATCGCTTCTAATAAAGTAAGGAAGATAGATTAAAATAAAATCAGATCAAAGTTTAAATAAAATATAATAGATATAAAAGAACCAACACATTCATTGCTATCTAAACTGTACTGACAGCAGTCAATGTGTTAAGAAAATATAGCAAAAGTCTTCTAGTCCTCATCAGTAGCTTCAGTCTTCTTGGCGCTCTCCGCCAGTTCCTCCTCCCTCTCCTTGATGCTCTGTTCTATCAAGTTGTCCAACTCCGGACTGAGTAGTACAGACAGACCGGCAGATATCGGCACCTAGAAAAAAAGTTTATAAAGCAATAGTTTTTTTCTTTTGGTTTAAAATGTAGAGTTAAAAACAGACTAAGTTGATAAAAAAAGGGTGTTACCTCAGAAAATACGTATGACGCGGCCTCCCATTGTTTAAGATGACCTTCTAAAACTTTAGTGCAAGCTTCAGCTTTTGGTATGATTTTAGCAAGGAGACTAGAAATTTAAAAATATTAGTCCTATCATCGTTTGTAAATAGAAATTCTTATAGATCTTAAGCTTCTCGTCAAAAAGATAAAGCAACGAACCTATAAAGTGGCATACAAGTGGTTGTGAGGAACTCCTGTTCAAGTGCGGGTATAAAGCACTTGTCTCGGTCCATAAAAGTCAACGCCGGCTCACCGCGGCTCTTCTCTAGTTCTCCTTGCTTGAAGAACTCAGTCAATACTGCTGCCTGAGGAATACAGACGACTAAAAGTATAACTACACCAAGCATTTATGGTACGAAAGTTAACTCGCCAGGCGAGTCAGTGGCATTACACGTGTTAATTCATACTAGTCTATACCTTATGGTCAATATTGTATTTCTAAACTGATATATAAACACCCTTAACTTAGGGTAGGCTCCGAGCCCCTCGGTGGGGACGTATAGTGAGCTGATGATGATGATATAAACACGGCTAAACACTCACGTATATTCGTCCGGTGGCGGCACCGACTAGTTTCGAGCCCATCGGGGCCCCTTCATCAGGATGAGTGGTACTGGTATAATTTAGCCGTGTTTATATATCAGTTTAGTATAGTGTCTCACGAAAGTTTGAATAATTTAATTGTATTTCTAGTTACACTGAGACAAGATACCACAGCATAAGCTACAATGCTGATGCATACGCTTAGTGGTGAGAATTCAACACTAATTTTTCTTTGTCTCGAGCCGTTATGATGTACTCACAGCTGTCTTCTTTATAACGGACCAGTCTTTGAGCTGGTCGCTGAGGTCCGCGGAATTCATAAGCAGAGCCTGCAGCGCCGCGCAGTGCAGTCGGTTGCCTTTCTGGTAGTCCATTGCTATCATTTCGTACTCGGGAAGATTCCTTTATGGTAATATTAAATTTAGAAATTCAATAAAACATACTGACTTCAATCCTTTAGCAGACCCGGTAATATACGAATCAAAAATCTTATTCGCGAATAGTAAACAATATATAGCTTTGGTAACATCCATTTTGACCACTCAAATCTTATGACTGAAATACAATGTCTACTCCAACTAAAATATGACTACAAATTACTAACTTGAAAAAGTTAGCCAAGTCTGTAGCCAGGACATAATCTTTGAGCATAATAATGGCGCGATCGTAGTCGGCGCGGGGCAGCGCGGCGAGTACATCGCAGCCTTCAGTATTCAGCACGCACACCGCTTGCGCCAAGTGGTGGCGCTCCATCACGCTACCCTCGCTAGAGTACAGCGCCGCCAGGCTCGTCTCTGCGACAGTACCAGCCACGTCTACTGTACGGTCTACTAAAGTTGTTAGAAAAACAAGTCCAAGTCTACTGATCGGTCTACTAGTTTGATAATATTGTGATCCCTAAAAGGTTTGTGCCTATTCTATTGTTAATATTCTGGAAGTTATAATATCTAATCTATCAGCCGATAAAATATTTATAAGCGTTCTGAACCTTTGTCAAAATGAAATAGTGTGACAACTAAGTTCGCTGACATGAGTTTTTGGACAATATTCGCACTAATTTTCTATCCGAAACCTAGTAGTAGCTACGTCTAGTGCTTTGGTATACTTACGCCCCATTATTTGGAACCTGTTGGTAGTCCCGCGATGATCAAGATCGTGCACCAGACATGCTATCAAATACATGAGTGCTTGCAAATCACTGAAATAAATTCAAAAAACATAGAAGGACGTCATTTGATTGCAGCTATGATGCAGTCAGTGATGTACATACTTAAGGTATCCCGAGGAGACAAGCTTATAGTTGACGAGGGCGGCGTAGGCCCATTGCGCGACATTGAAGGCGTGCATCCAGTTGTGGTAGGGAACATCGCGGTAGCCCTTCTTCACGTGCAGCACAAATCTTGCCAGCTTCATAGCGTTTAAATTGAACCTGCGTGGCGTTAGAAGTATTTGACTTCCTTTCTTTCATCCTGGCGTTAAGCTAACTTGACTGGTCAGTTATACTAAAATACCGGCGATATAATGCAAAGAAAAGGGCTAAATAGATTAGTCGTGCCACAATGCCGATGTGCCTGAAATTGCTTGCAATAGTAGAGGTAATATTTTTACGTGTTTCACTCGGGAGGTGTTAAGTGAATATTGTTTTTATTCATTTTTGCTGCAAGAAATGGATTCTAACTTCTTCTGCAATCCGAGGTCTGAGAACATTTTGAGCACATAGCAGGGCAACTCGCGCGGCGGCAAGGCGCGCACATTGAAGCTGAGACTGGCGAAGTGCGGGTGCTTATGAAAGCCAGTGCACTCCAGCAGACGACTCACCTCCGCGTCCCCCACCTAACATAGTACATGCAACTTTTGTAACCAATAAACAAAATTGAATGATTATGGCTAATTGTATTTATGCGGCCAGTAGCAATTTGGTCATAGACTAAAAAATTGGTAATATTCAAATCATTGGTTGTCTGATTATAAAGAGACAAATTCCAACTAAAAACTAATGCACAGCGAAAATTTACGACTCTGTTTTAGTCGTCTTTTCAATACCGACTTTTATTTTTAAAGATATGCTATTCAATTGTCAAAAGAACTGCTAATATAACTAAATTAAGACTTGCACTTGATGTAGCAAGTTTTAAAAGAAAACCGTTCAGTAGTAAGCGACCTTCATATGATACATGACGAGTTCGTTGGCAAGCGCGTTTCGGATGTGCGCCTCCTGCATCTTCTGGTAGACCATGGAGTGGACGATGCAAACGCCGCAGTAGACGCTGAATGCCAGAGCCATCTCCTCGTCCATCGCGTCGAAGTACGGGTCGCCCAACTTGTTGTACAGGCTGCCTACACCGATTATCCCGGACTGGTCGCGGATTGGGAAACATAGAAGAGACCTAGTACCGTAATTAAAAACGAGAATTGTAACTAAGTAACTGTTAAGTTAGTAACAGGCCCAGTGGCACCAATTCGCCTGGTGAGTCATAAGCCATATATATGGTATAGAATATGTTGAGATTTAAAAAATTCTAAAGGTGAAAAAGTCTATATTAAGCGAAACAGTTTCAAGGCTTTAATCGTAGGAGTATTTTAGATGAAGTTGTTGGACACAACTACATACTTACCTGCAACTGATTCCAGGATAAGCATCGATTTCTGGATTAAATTTGGGATGTTTCTCTGGATTCTTAACGTTGACGAGGTTACCCGTGTTGACGACAATGCCCACGATACCGACGTCCATTTTGAAACGTCTTTTCATCGTCTCCGTGTTAGTCTATGAAATAAAGAATACATTAAGAGTTGTCAAAGAAAAACTCTTTTCAAATTTAGTCAAATTAAATCCTTGTTTTCTGAGTGGGCACATTTACTCCTCTAACCGGAGTGGACATGCCTGCACCCACCAGCTTATAATAACAATGGTACCATTTGCAGCTCCATAGGGTCGTATATCTCCACCAGTTCCATTTGGTCTACGTCTATGAGCATGACGGAGCAGTACTCGGCACTCATCAGCATCTTGGCCTGCTCCATAGCCATGTGCAATAGCGTCTGCAGTTTCTCCACCTGATAATTGACTGAGTATGCAAAGAAATAGAAGACCCCGAAAGGGTTTTATGTATACAGTGACGCAATTTACAGGTATATGGAAGTCCCGAATGTTTTTATGCAGACAGTGGCCTCATCTATATAAATTGATATCACCTGAGTGAAGAGTCTCCTGGCGACGCGTAGCAGTTGCTGGCACTTGTACTTCACTGTGCGCTCGTATTCCAACATTATTGACTTCTTCAGCACTGGCCAGAAAAATCTTTAAACCCCATAAAATTAACATAAATGTTGTAATTAAACTTTTTGATAACTGTCAAATCTAGATGTGTTATTGGCCTTACTAAACTTGTAGATTGTCATTAATTTTTTTTTCAATGGTACATGATGCTCTGTTAGCTTATTAATTTTATTTTTTTAACTATCAAATATACTTACCTATACCAAACCCAGTTTACACGGTATAAATAGTTACGAAGATATAATACCTAAATTTCCTCGTATTTAACTCAATGTATAGAAGTAACTAACAAGAAGGCTTCGTATATAATAAGGCCCACGCGATCCTCCTGCACGGTTGGTGACACGATGCAGACTATCAGGGAGAAAGGGTCGTCGGGGATTGGGAACATCACCACACGCTTCTTAGGATTCTCCGATTCCAAAGTCTGAAGTTTAAGAGGGTACTTCATCAACGACTACATCAGGACGTAAAACAATTTTCATCTCGCGAAATTTTCCTATAAATTCAGGATTGATAGACGTAAACGCGTTAAATATTTTATAGACTCATCTATCAATATTAACCTATTTTTTATATGCTTTGCTTTCCTTTCGTGTGTTTTCTATGGTAATGTTGATATAAGATGGATACGAAGAAAGATGTTCTTAAATTCACTTCAAACACTTACAGGTTCAACAAAACTCTTAAAATCCTCTTCCATATTACTTAAGTACTCTGTCTGCTCGCCAACTGACTCAAGAACAACTTTAAATTTTTCAGTCAACTGAAATTAATAAAATATTTAAATACTCATTTTAAAAGTCCTACATTTGTAAACCTCAAAAGCCAAGAATCATGGTACTGACGCATATCTTACGCTTGCGCATCAACATCGAGGAGCCGACAGCTTCTATGAAAGCATCGGAGTGTTCCCTGCTCACTGCTACAAGCAAAGCCTGCTCTGCCTCGCATTCTTGGATGAGCTAGAAAGAGACGCAGTCAGTCTTGCATTCTGAGCAATAAATAGTTTTTTCCAACTCCAATCTAGGCCTAAACTTTGAAACTAAAAATAATCATATTTTGAAACTGGATATTATGAAATCATGTAAGGTACTCCCCCGCTCGACTGAGGGCAATCTTGCAATACTTTTTGTAATAAAAACTAGCAACCCTTTTCCTTATGGCAGGTTTTTCCCACACTGACAATATAGAAGTGACAAGTAGAGTTGACATTTATTATAATTTTTACCAGAAGTAAAATTGTTTTGTGGAATAATTATAGTTACATTTTTAAATGCCTATTTAGGTTAAAGAAAACATAGTTCGGAAATCATTATAAAAATTCTGCAATAATAAAGAATTCAGAATAAATACGATTTTACGTAATTTACATATGCAATGCAATGCGGTAAATCACTGAAAACTTTAATCAAATAAATAAAAGTAAGTTACATAGGTATTAATTTTAGTTTGCAGTTGGGCACTCTTATCGTCAGTTAAGCTCATGACCAGGTCCAAGATTTTGCCGGGATCACTATTTTGTACACTCTTCCGTCGTTGTCGTCTTGCAATCATATTTTTCAAAATAATTATTTTATGTGAACTGTTTTAAGCTAAGAATGTTGCAAAATGACAATTAATCTTGACATGACATAATTTTTAAAATACGTTTTTATTTCACAGATGAACAATAATTATTACATATTTATCGGTACAAAAAAGTCTTAAAAATTAAATAAAACGTTACTTGAATGCAATATCATCAATTTAATCATTACTTTTAGGGATTCCCCAACTATTAAGTTAAAAGCTTATTAGTAATTTTCTTGTATTTAATGTTTGTATTGTATTTTGTAGAAAATTAAACTTTTTTTTTATTTCTCTATGTCAAATCTCATAAATATTGCAGTGTATCCTACAGGTACTTAAACAGACACCTAGCTTTCTAGAAAATTGTTAAAATATTTTACAAATGTTTTTTTTTTCAGATGCTCTGTATTGTCTTTAGTTCGTAACTTACTGAAGCACTTATCTTTATAAATGGATAGGTGATTGCTTGGAATTTACAGCAATGCCTCGTTCCGATTTAAACGAGCCTTTTGAAGTTACGTGAAAGTTAATTCTATTAAGATTATTAGTCGAATCCACACCACTGCAACCATCAGCGACCATCGCATCAAAATGGCGAAAATCAAATTGGCATAAAATGCCATGTCCTTTACCCAGTCCATTTGTAGTGGTCAGTATACCAAAGAGTAAATAAAGGTCGTTAACCAATCCAAATCAAAAAGTAAGGCAAAGAGTATATAAAACAACAAGGCAAGGCAACAAAAACAAGGCAAGTATATAAAACAACAAAGTAAGGCAACAAAGTGCAAAGAGTATGTGACGTTATATCATACCAAATTACCAAAATTATTGCCGAACCGACGACTCCTGAAAGTAAAACAGCTGATGGGTGATGAAAAGTGATTTTTCATTAGTAATATCTTGTTATTGTATAAGTTAGCGCAGAAGAATATAATGGCTGAAATTCAAACTCTTATGGAAATGGGCTTTCCGAAGGAGCGAGCGTAAGTTCTAGTTCGTATTTGTATTAACAGCAAAATAAGATTAGGTTATATTCAATGTTGTTGTTTTTAGTGAAAAGGCGTTAGCGGTCACAAATTACAAAGGCGTGGAGCCTGCTATGGAATGGCTGTTGGCGCACGCTGATGAGCCTGATTTTGGTTCTGGACAAACAATTGGCGGGAGTTCTAGCACCGATGTCGCAGCTCCTCCTTCGGCTTCGTCTGAACCGGCATCTGAGCCGGCGTCTGAAGACTCGGCGGTTGCCAAATCATTTAAATGTGATGAGTGCGGAAAACTGTTCAAAAACCAGGATGAAATGGAATTCCATGCTGCGAAAACTAATCACAGTAGTTTCTCTGAATCTACCGAGGAAAAGAAGCCATTGACTGAGGAGGAGAAAAAGGCTCAATTGGCTTTGCTAGAGGAGAGAATGAAACAAAAGAGAAAGGAAAGGGAAGAAAAAGAAAAGGTAAGACAAATTGTATCACAAAATGTTAATTGTGTAGGACACACTTTGTAGTAAATTATGTTGTACAACTTAATATTATGCAACATTTATATTCTGTTCCATTGACAATGTGAATGAGTTTACATATTGAAATTTAATTTTTACTACTGGTCCTCATCTGAATTAAATTGTGAGAAAATGAATTAAATAAATAAATACAATCTTATTTTATGTTCCAGGCTGAAGCACTAGAGAGGGAGCGCCTCCGTATAAAATCAGGCAAAGATCTGCAGGATGCAAAACTCCGACTACAGGAGCAAGAGATGCAGAAATTAGTGGAGCAAAGGCGACGGGAGAAGATTGAAGATCAAAAAGCAAGGGAGAGAGTCAGGGCACAGATTGAAGCGGACAAACAAGCTAGGAAGTGAGTTTAGTTAAAAAATATTTGGCATTTTACAAATTTAATTAATGCTTATTGTCATTCTCTAACATAGTTTTCATTTGGTTTCAAAACTAGATGATTTTAATTGTCCCGATTATTCCTTTGTCTGCCATTCCATTCGCTTATTACAATAAAATTCTTTTCAATGATTCCAGGCTTGCAGCATCTGGTCAAAAGGAGGCTCCGGCTCCCGCGCCTATCCCTCCCCAACCGGCGCCCGCAGCACCCAAGGTGTCGTATGAGCAGGCTCGTATACAATTGCGTCTGCCCGATGGACAGTTGTTGTCTCATACATTCGGAGCTAAAGAACAACTTGCTGCTGTCAGGTAATTTTATGTTTATTTAAAGGTTTATTATTAATCCCGAAGGTCGTCGAAGTCGAGGGAGACCAAAGCTCCGATGGATAGACGGCGTTAATAAGGACGCAAAAAAAGTGGGCATAGCAAACTGGAAGTCCGTGGCCAGAGATAGACCGAGGTGGAAAAAGTTGCTGGACCAAGCCAAGGCCCACAAAGGGCTGTAGAGCTAGCAGAAGAAGAAGAAGAAAGGTTTATTATTGCAATAGAAGTAATTTATTCAATTTTAATGAGTATTTAGCAATTAAAATTCAGGTAACAAAATTGTATTGATACAAAAATTGATTAAAGTTGCGGGTTTTTATATAGATTTGATGTTACGCTATATATACGAGGCTAACCAAAGATTATAGTAACATTCTATGTACAAATGTTATTATTTATTAGCCAATTTGAAAAAGAAGGAGTTTATCAATTCATCCATATATTTTTATTACTAGTTTTAGTATATTTGTGACTGCTATTTTAAAATATTATTATATTTTGTAATTTCAGGTTATACTTACAAATGAATTCACAGGAGTTTGCTCAACAAGATAACTTTAAGCTGATGACCACCTTCCCAAAGAAAATATTCACTGTCGATGACTATGAGAAGCCTTTAGAATTATTGGGTAAGCTATGGTATTTTTGATCTGACTAAAATTATAAATGCGAATGTTTGGATGGATGGATGTTTGTTTGAAAGTATCTCCAGAAGGGATCCATGGATCTTACTGAGAATTGGCATAGATGTAGAATAGTAGTCTGGAAGAACACATATGCTATTAATTAGGAAAAAAATGGAACCCTTATAGGATCACTTTGTTGTCCGTCTGTCTGTCAAGACCCTTTTTTAAAACAGAGCGGATGGAGTCGCGGCACAGCTAATTATACTATAACTGTGGGTTTCCAATGACATGTCTTATACATATTCAATAAGAATATCCGACACTTTAAATCATTAACAGGAGGGTGCTAGTGAGTTGCCATAAATTGAATCGTCTAAGTATGACGTAGCCTTCAAGAGTAGAGTGAATAGGCATTTATTAAGCTAGCGCGTTCCATCTTACTGTAGGTTTCTCTTACTGCGATACTTGTATAGATACAGTGTTTTTTTTTAAATATGTAAGGGACAAAAGTCACAATCGAAAATCATTTTAATGCGTTTTTAATTTTTGTACAGGTCTGGTACCATCAGCGGTGATCATAGTCTCCAAAGGTCGAGGTCAATAAAATGTTGAAGATTTTACTGAACTGAATATGGAGTGGAAAGTGTTGAAACATAAGTGTTTTAATTTACCTTATAATCTATGATAATGGTTTCCGATATTATGTAATGTATGGGTTTTGCAAGAATTCCGCAGAATTATGATGAATAAAGTTTGTGTAATTGTGATGTTTTCTTATTCGTCTCAATTTTAAATCTCACTGGTACATTGTTGAAGGATTTCTACTAAAGATTCTTTTTATTTATGACAAATGAACAGTAATAAAAATAAATAATTTTAAAATTTAAAGCCTTTCATTTTGCAAACGAGTAGCTTTTAATACGTAAATGACATCCCGTTGGTTTCTGAAACCAAAATATCTGTAAAAAACATCATCATCCCTGTCATTATCTTTAAAAAAACGGAGAACATTATGTTGTAGACAGGAATTTTGGTCTTGAAACCCACGGACAATAGGTATATTTAAAAATAAAACAACAGTTTATTATAAATATTTATTTAAAAAAACTTGAATCTGAAAAACAGACTTAAATTCATTAAAAATAATTTCAGTGGAACCTGCTTGATACAACATAAACAAAATAGTATTGGTGATAAGGACTTGGCATCGCCGGTTCTTTTGAGAAGAGAAAAAATCATGGTATAAAATATTTATTGCTAATTCATGATAAAAAATTATTGCTGTTGGTCATTTTTAGTACCAAATGTATGTTATCCCTTCATATTGAGCTAATTTTACTCATCTACTTTTCCTCATAACATAAAAAGCTTTCCGGACTGTACATTTTTGCCTTTTTTCTAAAATGACAACTGAACACTATTGTTATTCCAAAAAAACCCACAGACTGATTAAGAACCTTATTTTTTCTGAACTCAGTTAAATATTTTGCTTACATCTAAGAAAAAAGGATTATCAAAATGTTTTTGTATGGCAGTGTATACAAAGTCTTATATTTTACAAAAGGAAAAAAAAAACAAGACAACATAATAAAAGACTATGAGCTAATCAAAACCCGAATTTGACCCTGTTTCTGAAAGGTGTTTAAAATTATAATTATTGCTTTAAAGGGGATAATTATATAAAGTTTAAGACAGTAAATAAACAAACATAAAAAAACAATTTCATAAAAAAAACGTCTCGACAGACGGCCGGATAAAAAAGTGATCCTATAAGAGTTCCGTTTTTCTTTCGAGGTACGGAACCCTAAAAACCAACGTAAATTTTAAAATAAATGAATCATACAAAGAAGTAAACTAAAACCATAATAAAAATTTCAATATGCAAACATATACAAAACAAATATTTCTAGAATTTGCATAAATTCTATTCCATATAGTTTGAATAACATTTTATTGTTTTATTAATAAAATAAATATTAATTACGGATCATATTTAAAAATGCGATTGGGAAATATGAAATATCCAATAGAAAACATAAAAAAAACAGATGATGAAATCTTTGAAAGTCAGCTTCAAGTAAAAACTTTGACTATTTGATATCAAGATTATAACGTAAGCCATTGTAGCCACATAGCTAATTTATATAAATTAACATATGTATTACTTGGGTAATGAGGATACAAAACACCCTGTGAAGTGTCACAATTAGTTAATATTGATTTCCCTTCATACATCTTTGCTTTTAAATTCAAAACACCATCGCAGTCATGCAAATCTAGTGTTTTTGTGAAACAAATGCGTATCTCACCTAAATAACTTTTACCTTTCTCTTTCCTACATTCAATAACTGGATTGACACCTAATTTGTTTTTAATCGAGTTATACATGTCTAGTACTGAATACTCATTGGTATTAGACGGTACTATGCCTGATGCTTGTAAAATATCATGAACCATAAACTTCTGTGACCAGGCGAGACCCATATTGAAGTATTTGAGTTCTGAATTCAGAGGTTCCAGTACAGCTGCACAAGTACCATGTTTATTCCACTCGTGGGCCCAGAGAGCGTAAGTTGAAGTACCTGGAAAATGTTTATTTTCAAATATATGCTACAAGTAAAGAAGTTTTACTAATCACATTTATGACTACTAGCTGTTGCCCCTGAATCAATCCGCCAGAATTAAAAAAAAACTGTGTTAGTAGCCTATATGTTTTTCCAGACTTTGTTCTACATGTATACTAAATTTCAGGGCATTCCGCCGTTCTGGGGATACCTTGTAACAATCATGCATCCACAGCATAGTAAGATTGACAATGATATGAGGAACAGTTGTGGAAGAAAAAAAAACACAATAGAACACATATACAATAGGAATCTAATTTTGGAAATGAAACATCATTATTGCCATTATTATTTAAATTTATCACCAAAGCAAATTTGTACAGGAAATTACTATTTACTTTTCTGAAGTGTAGAGGCCCCTATTAATTATGCATGCACTGACCTCATTGTCAATGATACAATTTGCAAGATGCTGTTCTGTTATAGTGAAATATGTAAACTTTTAGTAACATCAGAATCACATAACTGAGAATTTTTACTGTAGAAAATCACTAACACTTAGATGTATTCAACCACAAAGATTTTTTTTTAGATAATGAGGGAAATGTTTCGTAATTATATTTATGTTATGATAGGACTTTTATAAACAGCAATATCTATAGTTAACTTCTGCTCTACAACAAATAATGTTGCAGTGTCAATGTGAAAGGTATTCAATAATTAAAAGTACTTACCAGATTCGACATTGGTCCATAACTGTTCCAAATTCTTCTCTATTGGCCGGACTTGTTCCGGATCAAAATGCCAAGTTCTATTACAGAAAGCTGGCCCTATCGTCCCCAGCTTCGTCGGCCAAATGCCGTGGATGGTCCACGAGTCCTTGTTTGTCGGTAAGTTGCATGTATGTGAGTGATCATGTTCCTTCCATTCAATGCACACAGTTGCGGGCCAACTTTGGGTGAAAATCAACAAGTCCCACTGAGGTACATTTGTTTTTATTTCTCTGAGTTGCACATAATTAACCCTGTAATAATAAGAAAATAATTAATTTAATATCTAATAGGATTTTCATATATTTAAAAACTGCTCAAAAACATACCCCAAACATATTATGAACGAAGTTCGAAGAACCGCATTTATCATCTTTTTTTTATGTAAAAACCATGCAATATGGCCAAATAAATAATGAAAATGAAAGTTTGTAGCAGAAGCCTTAAATTCGGTTATTACGCAAATTTTGTGATTGTCACAAAACCCAAAATATTTGGTTTTTGCAAACTGGCAAATTTTGACATTGATACACGTCAGCTGTCAAAATAGTTTGCCAAAAAGTAAGTATTTTAACCACAGAATATAGTAACAGAAACGCTTTAAATTGTTAAATCATTACGGCAAAATTACCCATTAGGGTTGGGAATCCATTTATATTTTAATTGTATTATTCTTAAACTTGAAATTGATTAGAACGTGGTTAAACTGTAGGGCTTTATAACACAAAAAATATTTTTATTAGGTTCTCTTAAAAGATCTACTGAACGTATTTAAATTTGTTTCGCAATTAAAATCATGCTTTTTTGCTAATTATGATATGGTCAAGAAAAATTACAACTCTTGAATGATTGAATTAATTATCGTATCTGAGATGACGGATGACAAGCATAAATTTCGCATACAATAAAGTTTAAAGAATTGTTATTTTTTTATACTTAGAAATTTTAATCCAAACTTAGACCTATTGTTTTTACCGTTTCTATAATATAATCTCATTTCACATTTTTCTTCGACCGTCACTCGCTCTGGTGCTCTTTACAAAAAATCGTATCGCGTGCGTTACGTTACGATGATCAAGTATCCCCACGATTTCTTTAAAAATTTATAAAGCTTCTCTACCAACACGGTGGTTATAAACACAATTAAGAAGCTAAAGAAACACTACTTACACTTATAGAGATTAAAAACGCTATGAAAAGTTAATTAATTCCTGTTTCAAAATATGCAGACAATAAAACTTCGAATGTTGTTTTCTTTTGATAACATAGACTATATTTCAATAATTTACGAGTTTGCGTCCTTGAGTTATTTGCAAGTAACCTGCATTATTGCATACATATTTCTTTTTCCTACAAATAAAGTACGCAATGTCATATAACCAATTTCTTTCAATGTATGTCGTGTTTTTATTTGTTTTCACAAAACGCAACTACTGAATACATTTGCAAGAGATATAATAACAAAGTTAAAATATCATTATTAAAAATAAGAATTATAGTAAAGGTATCATTTTTTATAATACTTCAATAAGATTATTTTTCATCAATTTTAATAAGTCCTTAGTGCTGAAGTATTACTGGGCAATAAAATTATATTTCGCAAGTACAAACGCTAGGCAGTAGGCATAGCAACTGACCTACGGCAACTTGACCTTTAACCCCGCACCCTTCAAGAACGCCCGGATCGAGGCGGGAGAGAATATTCGATAAAGAAACTAAAATAAATTCACGAGAGAGTTATAAAATAAATGTGTGTTTGTTCCAAAAGGAGATTCCAATTTTCTAACCAAATAACGTTATAACAGAAAACCTAATGATAAGTTCATGTTTTGATATTAAAATATCCCATTTTTTTCTTGAGTTCTGAGAAATAGTATCATCCAGTAATTCTAATAGTTATTGTGTGACGTTATCAATTATTTTCAATAGTGGTATTGTAAATTATCACAAACTTAAATCTACCAGCTTTTAACATAACCAATAAACAAATAGTTATTCACCTAGTGTTTCTCAAAATAAGATTCCCTTTTTTTAATATAAGATGATTTTATTAAAGATTTGGAATGTGTTACCCAAAATAAAGAAAATCGCGTTATACAGCCGGCAGGGCACTTCGCAATGTCATTGGGGTAACGATGCGACCTTCAATTACTGGCCGTAAATTACGCCAGGAACAAAGAGGATGTAAAATTGAATGTTCGCGATTTCAAATGGGGTTTAAAAATTAATATAATCTGTGCCCTAAGTCTAATTCTATTATCAAAATCCAAAATAATGAACATTTTCCAAAAAAGATATGACCTAAACTAAAGCTAAAGGTCTATGTTACCAGGTCATAAATTAAAAAAAAAACTGATAACAAAAATCTGAATGTGTAAAAAGCTGAATTTGATTTATAAACGATAGAATTTTGAGTTAAAATTTATACATTAATAAAGTTTTATATTCAAGAATCACTGAGATACAGCAAATAAGTTTTATTGTGACGATGTTTTAATACTTTTTACACGTGAATATATAGCTTTTCATCCATTTCCGTGCCAGTTTTCAGAGTTAATAGATAAATAGATTGTTGAAATTATCCAAAACTACTATCTAGGTCGTTGCACCCGATCATTTGACACACGAGTTTTCGCGCCAATCGGGTAATGCGAGCGTATTTGGCGCGTGCGCAGTCGCGTGCTTGCACTACCGCTAATTGGTAAGAAAAACGCGTCACGGAGTGTGAAGCGGCGTGTGCGCGGTTCTTACGACGCCCACCCGCCCGGAAACCGCACGAACGAGCGTTTTTTTAGTCGCATCGTATTAATTTTTAAACGATCGGGAGCAATGGCCGCGTATATTGTTAATTGTAGATATCAGTGACGGTAGCGTAGATATAAACAATTATTAACGTTAAATAAGTAGTTTAGGCTTTTTCATTGGACTGGCATCGGAACTGGATGATATGTAGTAATTGAAATATCTTTACATCAAAGATTATTGGATATTTAAGGCTATAATTAAATAATACTCGATAGAATATTACTGACTAAATATTTTCAATATATTTTAATAATAATATGCGTAGTGAGGCCATTTTTGTTTCAATCTTTCCTTCAAATCGTAACTTAATTTTAACTAAAATTTTGTGACCTTTTAAATTGGTTGTGAAAGGTAATTTAATAGCAAAAAAATATATTATTCTTATTATTTTCTTAAGTAACGATGCGTGTCAGTCGACTGACCGTCCAAGCGTGTGCCTGCAACTAATCGATACATTAAAAAAACCTCAAGATCACCGCTTTCTAAGTACTGGTTATGCTTTTGCAATTACATTGTGGATGGCAAATAAATTATATTTTTCATAGACATACAAGTAGTGTAAAAAAAAACAGTAGCTTTTTACATCTTTAAAGAACAAAGTGATAGAAGACTAGAAACGACTAGACTATAGAAGACTTTGCATTACTAATATTTATACAGTAAGAACTCAAATATGGTATTTGAATTTCGCAAATGAATTATACTTTGTGGTATCCATACAATTTAATTACAGAGTACACTTAGTTGCAGTGAAAGTGGGTTCAAATGACGCACAGTTGCGTAAGTATTAATAATTCCGGTCACATCTCGGTCGTGACTCATTCGTTTGGAGCCGGGACCTTTCAATAGCAAGGCTGTTGCGCTGTTTAACATACAATATCGCCAATAGGCACGGTCGCCTGTTGAGCTCAAATCGAATATTTATTTAGAAACATTTAGCTATCGCACCTAAAGTCATTTGATTGCTACTAAGTCACCCTTAGCGTTCTCATACTAAATGTCACAAAATATCTTACAGTGTAACGTTTATTGTTTTTTAATAAAAAGGTTTTATATGCTGATTTATATTTATAATTTTATATAGCCTGTATCATTGTGTTGGTTGCCTGTTTGATTTTGTCGTTAATGTCAATTAGGATGTATTAAAAATAGAGGTTTTCGAAGACGAAACAATTTGTTTGATTCTTAATAATTTAACTAGAATTCCATTCGACCCTTTTACTCTAATGTGAACAATTTTCACTTACAAAACTTTGACCGTGGATTTTATTTATGCAATCATATTAAATCTAATTTTCCTCCTTTTTCTTCCGACAGAGTGACATTTATGTAGACAGCGCGTAGGGAAAGGAATGTAGTTTAAAATAACTTTATGGTTCTGTGTTGCTACTTTTGAAAAACGAATTACCCTGTATCAAATTAATTAATTAGCAATTAAATAAGATTCAATATAACTGTACCAATTTGTAGTTATGCATTTCTTTAAGATTTGCATTAATATGGGTAGGTTAGTATTGTTTCTAGTTATAATTTTTCTATTAAAATAACTGGTTAAAATGATATAAAATGGACGAAAACGAATATCGCATTTTGTTCAATTAAGACAAGACCAATTAAGTGCTTATCATTATTAAAAGTGCCAAATTTAACTATCTATAATATGCAAGTAGCTCTTAAACATAGATACTATATTTCCATTCACATCGCAAACTGAGATCAGCTTAAATTGTTAACCTAAGTCTATAAATATACAGCTTCATGAATGGTCTCTCATTATGTTACCCTAAATTTCGGCAGCTGTTTAGAATATGTCAACACTGATTCGAGTTGCGCGCGCGCACGCCACCCTGTGATGTCAGCAGGAATCCGCGTCGGAAGTGAGTCAATGGTGAGTCAAGAGGAATGCTCGCAGGCTTCGTTTTTGTTACGTTTTAGTTTTATTTTAAATACAATTATGCGGTACATTTTAGAAGCGAAGTGCTTAAATTGTGGTAAAATATGTAAGAGTGATTTAATTTTCTGTATTACTAAAACATCTCAGCGTACTTGGTAGCGATGTTTATTGGTATTTAGTTTAATCCTAATGTCATTAAGGTTTGAATACTAAAATATACATGTATTAAAGCTTATCACTGGTATATTTTGCACGCACAATAATGCTGTTTCGTTGTCATGAGTGACCGAACATGAGAATGTTAAAACATTGAAAAAGAATCGTCAAAGAGTTTGAGTTGAAAGTTTACTTGGATCTAATAAAAAGCTAAACACTCTGTAATGAACCAACGGCGTTATCATCTAGACTTTTGTAGTTATTTACTTATATGACATTCGGCAATGTGAATAGAATATGGCATCCAGTGACGCGTGCTGCCCGAGACCACATAAAGCGGGACGATGCCACATTCTGGCGCCGCTAAGACGGGTTAGGGCATGTTCTCGAGTAAGATTTTCTTGTATACAAGCCATTGATATGATTATAACATAACTAATACTGCACTTACTTCGTTAGGATATGGTACATTTTATATTTTTATTTAACTAACAAACAAAACATCTTACTTCTTAGTATCTTACTAATATTATAGGTAAATGCGAATATTTAGATGGATGAATGTTGGAAGGTATCTCAAGACCGGTATAATGGATTTCAGTGAAAATTGGCACAGATGTAGAACATAGTCTGGAATAACACATAGACTACTAATAAAGTTTTTTAATTCCAC